CAATGAATGACGACCTTAAAAAACAAATGCCTAATATTGAAACTTAAAAGAACTACGTGGACTTTGATTCCTAATATAAGGGGTACGTAGGCACCTTAATTGACATATGATATACTATACTTATTAAATGTCAATTAAGCTCAAGTCCATTTTTTTTATCAACTTTAAAATATCCTAACGTAACAAGAATTAATTTTTCTTTACAAAACATTGTTCAGAAATTCAAGCAATAATATCAATTACTCCAATTATTCCACGCCCGTAGTCTCCATTGCTGTATTGTAGCCGTATGAGAGAGTGCGACGCCTGTTCTACAAAGGAGATTATGTGCGTGGCATTATTGGCGTAATTGATGTTATTGCTTTGATCATTATTTGGTCAACTTTTAGAATTTCTTGAGCTGTAAGTAAATTAAAAAAAAAAATACTTGGACTTTCATTTCTAATTTAGCAAATACGTAGGCACCCTAAGTTAAAATATCAATTAAAACAAGTTAAATTACATCACCAGAAGAATGTTTTGTAATGGATACAATCGCAGTTAGCATCGTTTACGGGGTTCTTAACGTTTAACAATCTTCCAACACTGCAAGGAAGATGTAATCTTTTTCACACACCACTAAAAATATTGGATTATTGTATCAGATTAAAGTGAAGGGTTGTTGACCGAATGGCTTACCGGTATATTGTTCTGCATTCACATCACTTTACATTGAGTTCATCGTCCCCGAGGATGACTAAGTGCGTGTCATATTAATCTACTTTATGCTATAGCAAGTTTATTAGAGAGTTGAAAATATAATATATAAAGAAGACCATGGGCGTGACATCATTGGTGTCATTTGATGTTTGTTTGTTAATTTGGATATCAACACGGCGCACCACACCGACACGATTCGGCTCTCGGCATCTTCGCCATTGATTTTCCGATCCACCAGATTGTAGAAGTTCAACATCAGATAAAAACAATAACATCAATGACACCAATGATCTCTCGCCCACAGTCTTCTTTATATATTATGTTTTCAACTCTCTAATACACATGCTAGAAGGGTAAATTAGATAAATTTGACACAAACCTGGCCATTGTCGAAATTCTTACTGAATTTTCCAAGAAATGATTGCAAAACAATATACCGGTAAGCTCGCATTCGAGCCATCCACACTTCACGTTAGTTTGATAAAATAGTCCAATAGTTCTAGTGTGTGAAAAAACTGTAGCTTTCTTGTAGTGTTGGATGATTGTTGAACATTTAAGAACCGCGTAACCGATGTTAACGGCAATTGTTTTCGTTATAAAACATCTTTCTCAAATACATATGTTAATTCAACAGTAACTTGAGTTTCTTCAACGTCATCATGCAATCCGACTCCAATACACAGTCTCGAGTAATATATCCGTTCTTTTTGTTAGTAGCCTCAAGCATGTTACTTAATCGATGTTGTCCAAGTTATCATCTTTGGTGAACAAGACGTTGATACTATTACCCCACAGTCCCATAAGGGTACATGCCTTTTCACGCATCACTGGTACTGTTAGATAATGATATCAAACTAATGTATAATGTTGATGACTCAACTGCAACTTTATCATTACATTATTTTGCATTCATTTCCTCGACATTGAGTACGTATTCAAAAGATAACTAAGTCTGTATAAGCGTTCTGTTGTTTGTGTTATTGCAGGCCTAATCTAGCATTGAAAGCATAATATGTAATGGAGAACATTGACCTGATATCATTGTCCTAAATGAAGTTGATGTTTTGAGTTCATCTTCTAAAGTTCAAACATTAACTCAAAAACATTAACAACAAAAGGGAATTGTGATGTCACGTCAATATTCTGTATTATGTATTATGCTTTCAATTCTAAATTTCGCCTGCTATAGCACAAATAATAGAATGTTTATACATACTTAGTTATCTTTTGAATTCTTACTTAACGTCGAGGAAATGAATGCAAAATAATGTAATGATAAAGTTGCAGTTGATTCATCAACATTTAACATTAGTTTGATAGCATTATCCAATAGTACAAGTGATGCGTGAAAAGTTATGTACTCTTATGGAATTGTGGGATAATAGTATCAACATCTTGTACGCCAACGATGATAACTTGGACAGCTTCTGTTAAGTAACATGCTTGAGGCCACTAACAAAAAGAATGGATATATTACTCGAGACTGTGTATTGGAGTCAGATTGCATGATGACGTTGATGAAAATCAAGATATTGTTTAACTAAAATAGTAAAATTGAATTTCCTAAGTCCTACAAAATAACACTATACCGGCGGAACCGCAGATCAATCAAAATCGATAATACATCTCAACATACTTTNAAAAAAAAAAAAACCCCGCGAACTGCCGGAACCTGACCGAACCGGCGGGTCCGGGCTCAGAACCGATCCCGGACCGCCCCTTTTTCCGGTTCGGTACCGGGCCTCGTCCAAGCGGACCGTCGACCCAGCAGGCCGGGCCAGGCCCGGACCCGTTGACTGGCCACGTCTAGGTGCTAGTTGATTTTTGTTTACATGAGTACAGACAGACATGCAAAGGAAAGGCAGTGGGAGTTTTTGGAAAACAGTAAGCAGAACTGGGGTAGATGTTGGGTGATGGCTGGAGACTGGAATGACATATCTTGTAATGAGGAAAAGAGAGGTGGTCTTAGAAGGCTTGAATCCAGCTTCAGAGGATTTAACGCTTTCATTGCAAACATGGGAATGCAGGAAATGGATCAGAAGGGAGCATTTTTCACCTGGGGTAATAATCGAGCTGGTGATGGTCATGTAGAAGAGAGACTTGATAAAGTCTTCATCTCCTATGATTGGATGCTGGCTTTTCCTATGATGGAGGTTATCAAATTCTACAGAACAACCTCAGACTATGATGTGATGCTCTTTGATACAGAAGTGGGGACTGATAGAAGAAAGAAGAGGTTTCATTTTGATAGCTCTTGATGAAGATGGAGGGAGTGACAGATGCAGTTCAGGCTGGATAGCACATTTCTGTAGAAGGGTACCAAATGTACCAAGTTCAACAGAAGATTAAGAGTACTAGAATGGACTGACTATCCTGGCACAAACCCATTAGCAGGAATAGTGAGAAGATTATCAAAACTCTGACTGCTAGGTTGGAGGAGATGAGGTGGAATGGGCAGGAAAGGGACTGGGATGAATGGGGTTCTTTGAAGGCTGAACTTGATTGTGCTCATGAAAAGGAGGAGAATTTCTGGAGACTGAAGTCTAGAGCTTTGTGGATGAAAGAGGGGGATAGAAATACCTGTTTCATTCATGCTTATACTGCTCAAAAGAGGAAGACCAATTTGATTCAGAGGCTTGTCACTAGTACAAGAGCAATTTGTGATTCTCAAGAGACTATTGCATCTCATATGGTGTATTTTTATTCTTCCTTATTTACATCTGAAGGTTCTTCAGGAGGAGAGGAGCTACTGTAGCACATTTCACATTCTATATCTGCAGACACTAATAACATGCTCATCCCACCAGTGCAAGAGATGGAAATTAAAGCAGCACTGATCAAAATGGAATCTGACAAGGCACCAGGGGAGGATGGTATGTCTGCCTCTTTTTTCAAGCATTTTTGGGATATTATCAAAGTTGATGTGTGCAATGCTGTTAAAAGCTTTTTCAGCTTTGGAACATTACTCAAAACTTGGAAGCACACAGTTATTACTTTTATACCAAAATGCTTATATCCTGAATCTTTAAGTAGCTACAGACCTATTTCTCTTATTCTGTACAAAATTGTTGCCAAAGTGCTTGTTGAGAGGCTTAAGTTGTGTTTAAATTCTTGTATTAACCTTGCACAGACAGCTTTTGTCCCTGGGAGGAATCTGTTAGACAATGTTGTTATAGCCCATGAGGTATTCCATTTTTTGCATAGACATAGGTCTGGGTCTCAAAAATTTATGGCAGTAAAGTTGGATATTAAGAAGGCCTATGACAGAGTGGAATGGGACAGCATCAAAAAAATCATGCAGAGAATGGGTTTTCAGGGCACCTTCATTAAATGGATCCTTAGCTGCATTTCTTATCCTACATTCTCTTTTAATCTGAATGGGATGAATTGTGGTTTTGTCAGAGCTTCTAGGGGGATCAGGCAGGGTGATCCCCTTTCTCCGTATTTATTTATACTAGTGTCAGAGGCTTTCTCTTCTATTTACATCATAAAATCAGTGTTGGACAATTCAGGAGTATTAAAATTGATAAAGATGGACCTATTCTCTCACACTTACTATTTGCAAACGATGCTTTGGTGTTCTGCAAGGCAGATGATTCTCATGCTTTGCTTTTATTGAATATCCTGCATAAATATCAGTGCTTTACAGGGCAGAAGGTCAATTTGTAAAAATCATCAATGTTTCTGAGCAAGAATTGTGGGACTGACATGATTAGAAAAATCTGTTCTATTCTGAGGGGTGTGGTGGTGAATTGATCTTCTAAATACCTCGGCCTTCCCTTAGGCATTGGGGCTTCAAAGAAGGATGTTTGTCAGTTTGTGGAGGATTCTGTTAGAATGAGAATTGAAAGTTGGAATAATAACCTTTTGTCCACGGCTGGTAAGGAGATTCTGATCAAGTCTGTTTTGCGGGCTCTTCCTGTATTTGTCATGTCATGTTTTATGCTTCCTGTGGGTTTGTGTAAGACCGTTGTTGTTTAGTGGCTAAATTCTTGTGGAGTAAAAGGGGCTCTCAAGATACCTGTTTGCATTGGAAATCCTGGGACAAAATGGCTACTCCTAAGCATGATGGTGGACTTGGTTTCTTGGATATCAGACTCTTGAATAGAGCACTCATCCTCAAGCAATTGTGGAGACTCATTGATCAGCCTGGGCTACTGGTTAGTCAAGTACTTAGAGGTAAGTATTTTTCTACTTGCTCTATTTTTTATTGGACTCAAACCAGTGGTGATTCATGGTTGTGGAAATCCTGGGCTGCTTTACTTCATATTCTTAAAGATTAGATGAATATCATTATTAAGAATGGTGTTGTCAGTAAATTGAATGATCAAAATTGGGTGTCTGGGTTGGTTGGAGGGAAACCTGAATTTAGAATCTATATTGATGACCATTTGTTCTGGGTTAAGGACCTCTTGATAGCAGGAGGGTGTAATTGGGATACCAATCTGGTAAAAGCCCTTTTTGTAGTTGAGGATGCAGAGAAAATATTGCAACTTCAGACTTTGAATCCCAGGGCAGCTGATTTGTGGCATTGCTCTTTTGTGGCCAAAAAGAATTTCTTGGTTAAAAAAGCTTATACATTGCTGATTGCTGGGAAACTAAGTACAATGGCTGAGAGTAGTACAATGGCTGAGGGGAATAGAAAAGCTAGATCAAGGTGCTGGAACCTCAAAGTTTTGGGTAAGGTGAAACACTTCATTTGGAAGTGTTTTCTTAATATTCTGCCTGTCAACCTCAATCTGGTATCCAGAGGCCTTGACATTGATCCTTTGTGCAAAGTATGTAGGGAAGCTGTTGAATCTCAAGAGCATGTTTTGTTTCAGTGCCCCAGGGCTGTTAAAGTTTGGCAGGTTTCACCTGTGCAGTGGAATAGAGTTCACCAATAGCAACTTACTTTCAAACAGTGGTGGTGGTGGATCAGCAGTATGGACTTCAAAGATACATCAGAAGAGAGAATCCAACTATCCACTTGCATATTATGGTGGCTCTGGAAAGCAAGGAACATTTGGGTCTTTGATGGCCACATGCAACCAGAGAGATGGATCATTAAGGCGGCTTTGAGGGACTGGATGGATTTTGATAGTACCAACTCTTGATCATAAATGGCAAGGACTGAAGTTGAGCTAGGCTGGTTGGCAGTGGTTCTACATTTAGTTTTCTTAGTTTATGTTCATTAGCTAGGTCTGATGCTTGTGTATGTGTTGATTGGTATTGTGCTTTCCAATTGTACGTTGGGGTGTCTTGTTTTATGTATGTTTGATTTGGTTATTTGTCTATTTGGCTCGGCTAGGCTGCAGTTGTATTTGCATGGCCTCTCAGTTACCCAGGCAGGATTTGATCCTATGTACATTACCATTTTATGGTTTTTTATGAATAGAGCATCTTATGTCGTTGAAAAAAAAAAATTGAATCTTGTCTCATTGAAAAAATAAACTCGTAAAGATAAAAATAAAGTTGGATTGAGTTGTAACTTGTAAAAGGGAATAATTTAATTTTTGGTTAGGAACTCAAAAGACCTAGATTTTTTTTTTTTTAATTTGTTTGACTGTTATCAATATCAAATGTTTGATTCATAATATCTACTTTGTTTGGAAATTTATAGTATAAGCTTTTCAATTACGTCTCCCCGATCAAAAATAACTTGTTCATTAAAAAAAATCATACATAAGTATCGTCCACCTTCTGCATCAATCAATTACCGATGAATCAATTATTAGAAATCAAAATATCACCGACGAATTAATTATTACAAATCAAAATATCGTACTCATTTTCTTCATTTCATAATTTAAATAAAAGTCTTAAAGTAATTTCAAGTTCAATTCAATTTCAACCAGTTATAAACATTTTGAATCATCTTGGAGTTTCAAATTTCAAGAAGCAAATTGACAATTTCATGTAGTCTGAAAAACTACTTTTCTAACTTTAAATGATTGCACTTCCTGTTTCAAGCAATGATGGACCAAGCTCAACTCCCTGAAGAAGAGTATTACTGCAGACAACAGAATCCAGCTTACTATCTAGTATCTACATACTTTGGTGGATATGGAAGGCCCAAAATCATTGGGTGTTTCAAAAATACTGGCTCTCAGAATTCACCATAGTGCAGACAGCTTCATCAGCTTCGCTTGAATATATCAATATGTAACCTCTGTTCTGGGATGTTGCTATGTAGCTTTCCTTTTGATGGTGTTGTAGTCTGTTAGTATCTTGTTTTTATCTTTGACTTTGTAGTGGTAAACCTGCTAGGTCCCCTGGTTCAGTGACAGATTTATCATTTGCTAGATGCTATTCTTAGGATTAGCACATCCATTATAAGTATCTACCTTGGTCTTCATAGCCTCAGACTATAGCGAGAATAGATTATTGGAATGGCTTTGTTTCCGATATTTCTCAAGCCGCCAATATTGGTGATCCTTATATTCTACTATTTAGTAAGCAGCATTGTAAATATTGTACATACATTTATGTGCTATAAAATCTATAGTTGTGAAAAAAAAAAAAAAAAAACTAAGACTANAAAAAAATGCTAAGACTAATGAAACGTTTGAAAATCAAATTACCATTTGCGTCGTAGAAGAAATCCCATAAAACAAACATGTGCCATAATAATTTCTAACTCTATTGATAGATCAAATACGCAGCAAACATTTCATTTTGAATTGGATATATTCACATCCATACTTCTGCTAGAAAAAATCCTTAATACACTCGAAAAATCAACTATTAATCAATCTACATACATGAGAAAATGAAGTTTAATGTTTCACCAAACACCACGATACCAGTACACATCCATATCACAGTAAGGGTACCACCTGAGAGGGCTACAGTATTACACCATTACTATAAACATTTAGGGTTATAGATGGATAACTACTAAACAGTTAAATAACTACTAAACGCCCAAAATTAAGTAAGGCTAAAAATCTCAGGACTGGTGCCAACAGTTGTGTCCAAAGGTAGAGCACTACTTACTCCGTACGAGAATCACCGGCGATAACGATAGCGTTTGAAGTTGAAGTAGACATGTAATATCCCACGCTCAAATGTACATTTAAATCCCTTTTTGTGCGAGTACTCCCATTCTTTATTGACAATGCGGAAAGCCTGTGCACATAATATATAAGAATGAGTACATCTACCGGGTGTTTTTGTTCTTCTTTTATTCAATTTTTTTTTTTTTTACATCAATATCTTTCTCTTAAAATTACACGGAGACCACTGAAGGTATATCATAAACAACCCCCTTGAAGTTTGTATTTTACCCGACGCGGACGTAATTTGTAATAATATATACAGGGGTCAACGAAGTATATGCAAATTTAAAAGAATTAATTATCTTCTCTTGAATTGTATGTATGCCCATGAGGTAGTTTCTTATGTAACTGCAGGAAAATAAATAGAGCAGAGATAACTTACGATGTCCTCATACGGGGGCCCGGCGTGGAATCTAATTATGCAAGTCTCTGAACTATCCCCATCCTTCTCAATGGTGTAAATAGGAGCTTTGGACTTGTCAACCAAATCTGGGTAGAAAATGTTGAACTTGTATCCCTGAACGATTTTGGGAGGTGGATTGTCGTGATCATAATGCGTTTGGTTGTACTTGTTCCACTCATAGCCCGTGTGGACACGGTTGAAATACTTGGGCTTTCTTGGCCGATATTTATCATGCCACCAATATACCTGTTTAATCAGCACGGTTCAGAGTATAAACTCCCACATTTCTAGATACTAGTAAAAGAATAAATTCACTCAAATTAACTCAAAGTGAGTTTTTTTTAGTTAACTAGGGTTAATTTAGAAAAAGTGGTATAGTTAGTTGTTAGTAGGAAATTGAGTTTATATTATAATAATAGTTAAAATAGAATAATTAAAGTTGATTTGATCTAAAAATAGGAGAGATGATATGAAGTGATGGTTAGTTAAAATTATATGAGTGAATGAATAGTGAATTAAAATTGATATGATGTGTAAAAATTATTGGTTTGTCCATTGCAAATGGAGCTGGACGTTGACAATTCTCCTGGCATAGTGCTAATAATGGACTAGATCAAAATGGCTCAATTAAATTCTAGTGCTTCTTCTATTAGTGAAGTCTTCTATTAGTGAAGTTTCTAGAAAAAAAAAATATATCAAACGGCGCAATGCACCTTAGGTCGCTACGGAAACAGTCTCCTTGTATAATTACAAGGGTAAGGTTTGCGTACAACTGACCCCCTAGACCCCAACCTGTTGGGAATATACTGAGTATGTTGTTGTTGTTGTTGTGTAAATGATTGGTTGTATTATTTAATGATTGGTTGGTTATTATTCAATTATATTGATAATAATGAAGATAGTGGGGTTGAAGTTAAAATTGAGTTAGATTTTGAGTATGAATTAATTTAATTGAGTAATTTCTTTTACAAACATTGCCTAAATAGTTCAGTAGGATGAATAGCACGGTTCACAGCAGGTACCTGGGAATCGAGATTAATTTCATCGTTTGTACCAAACACAACATCACCTTCCTCCATGGCTCCCATGGATTTCATAGCACTTTTCTCAAAGTTATCTTCAGGATGAGCCGTCGGCCTCAACGAAAGTTCTTGAATTCGTCTCTCTTCTAATACAGCATTTCGTCTCCTCTCCTGCGCACAGACAGAATACACGTGAATCAGCTTATTTGTCAAAGAACTAAATCTAGTACATTTTTTATATTGATAATAATACTTTGACCATATGAAATAGAAATGATGAGAATATTCTCTAACCAAAAAATTAAAAGGTTGTTCAGCTGAAAAGAAAAGGGAATGTATATAAAGGAAGTTATGAGAAATGATGGAGCTCCAGAATCTCTCAGATTTGCAAAAACCTCTGCAGTGAATTAGTACAAGAATGTGCAAAGATCAAACTTATGTTACTGAGCAACGAATATAAGGGGGTCATGTCTCCACAATGAACTTTTCAACAAATCCCTTTCTTGGATTGGGAATTTATAAAACCAATCGATACCAGAGCAATAGCTAACAAGTATAGAATTCTGAGACAGATTGGAAAGAATATGTTGGGGCACCAAAACTTCACATCACTGTGAAAACTTGGATCAGTAATAATTCTAGTTGATGAAATTACAGAAAAAACACCTCCAACATTGTTAAACTAGCACAAAATGATCTTAATACATTTATCCTATACTCTGGATTATTTTCTAAGCATATAGTTAGGAAAGACTGAAATACTGGTTTGCACAGAACTATGTGAGTGTCACCAAAGACAAAATTGCCTTAATTGATGCGTCCCCGTCTTATTCATTGATTAGCAAAACTGTCTAATATTATCACAATCCGTTATAACAATCCAAATAATGAAGCATAATGAGCATGCATTATGAGAAAAAGGACAAAGAAAGCATAGATGTTTCATAAAGGAACATGCATGAAAGACTGACCAAATGCACCAAATCGTCCAAGCATGAGTCACGAATGGATGCAGTGAAGGAAAAAATTGAATAACAAACCCACTACTTTCCAGAAATTCATCACTGCTCGTCAAGATGAATATTGACAAGTGAATAGTGAAGCTCTAGCTTCAACTTACCAAAATAGCCTTATCCTCTTCAGGGTCAATTGCATTTTCTTCATTTTCATCACCATGCAGCTGCAGTGGAGAGTATGATCCAACTAATTCTTCTTCATCAGAGACCTCTGCTTCCATTAAAGGCATTGGAGAAATCGACCCTACATACTCTAGGAGTATCAGTAAACTATTTAATGTCCACAAATCTTTGGAAGGCAAATATCACAAGAATTCAAAATAGTACATACCCTCTATTTCTTGATCGGAATCCTTCTCATCAAGTTCTACTGTCAATTCATCCTTGTTATTTTCACCTTCAGATTGTGTAGTCTCTAAACGCTCCAAACGCGTCCGAAGCATTTTGGCATGGATTTCTTTCAAACAAGCCTGCATTTACATATGTAGGATGTCAAAAAAACCACAGCACCAAAGCACTTTCAAACATAACAGAAGAGAATGTGAAAATTACCTTTGCTTTGTATATGTGGAGGCGTTTGAGGATTGCCTCCCAGTATTCGACAACCTTGGCAGTCCCAGATCGCATTTGCGATTCAATCTGGGATTGCAGGGCTTCTAGTTCACCAAAAGTTTTTCCTTGTAAAAGATTTCTAACATCTGCTTCAACGCTTGAATGCAAACCTCTTTCCTGACCAATCATCTCTGGAGGTAATTGCTCCCCGCGCACCCTGGCACGTTCTGATGCATCTTTTTTCCTAGCTTCAGCTAGTTCCCATTCAGAAACTACTAGAAGGGCCTTCCATTCATATAAATGAAGTTAAACGGAAATCCCAAAGTATTCAAATGTGATTAAAACTATGATTTAGCAGCAGACAAGTATCAAGTGGGAAATAAAAACAACAAAACAGACCATCATGATCAACAACATAAATCATCTGGAATGAGGGCTCAACCCTCCCAATTCATTATTTAATTACCAAAAGTGGCAATTGCTAAATTTTAACAAATATATCAACACACCAGAAAGTATACCATAAGCTTATCCCTCAAGAATTAAGTATTAGCCAAAGAACCTGCATATAAGCTCCCAAATCTAATTTTCTTTGAACCAGTAGTCCACAGTCAATCATTTGGCATCACCAAAACATGTCAAAAAGGTATCCATGTTGAAACTTGTGGATAATACTTGAGAATACACTATTACTAAGCAAATCAAGAACTCCAAGCAAATCAAAATAATTCAGCAACAGCTAGTAAGATGCAAACCAAAAAAACCAACATACAATAGAAGGCACTCTATCCTCAAAATACAAGTGCAATTACAAGAAACAGAAAAGAAAGCTGTAATACCTCCCAATATTTTATGTGTGTAGGAGTAGCCCTGTCTAGATCAAGGTGCAACTTTATGTCATCATGAAGCTCTTCCATTTCTTTTACAGTCAACCCCTAAATAAAGAAATCTCAGTCGAACCCATAATCACAAAACTCATTTTTCCTTAAAAAATGTAAATAAAAACTTGCAAAAATAATATAATTAGTTTAAGCATTATCTGAATTAATAATGATTGAGAACAAATAATGGGGGTAAAAAAGAGCATACCTTAAACACCATGTACGGTTCGTTTATCTCTACTTCAAAATCATCTGAAGGATCTAGATGTTTAGTGAGTATATCAATCGGTTTAGTACGACCTTCGCGTAACCGGATCTCTGACCTAACTTTGCTTTGGTCAAAATGAAACTGTATATTAAACATATTACATGTCAGTAATGAGTTAATTTTGGCAAATCACAAAGTGGGAATCCAATAAAGACATCACACTGCACAGGAAACAATAGCCGTAAGTTGCTACATTTCATGCATTTACCTCTTCCTCTTTCTTCTCCCAGTCTTGGAACTCAGCTCGGGCACGATCTCTTGCCAAAAGTGCCTACAGAATAAAGTTCATTACCATTCAAAATATGGAAGATTCAAGATCAACAAGGACAATAAAATAGAACAAACAAAATAAGCCAATTGAGCCTTCAACATCAAACAAAAAAAATACCCCCTTCTCCAAGTAAAGAATAATCCTACCATTTCTTCCTCACGTTGTGCTTTCTCAATAGCTCGCTCCTCTCTTCTCTTTTTAACCTTCTCGATTTCAGCCTGTGCAAAAAAGAATGTAAGTTACTATTATCCACCAGGTGGAAGAACAAGTGAAAATGCAACGATCACAAGTGCAACAAACTGTTGGTGATAGTGCCCATAAAGCAACTGGTTGTGTACAACAATTATATAATACGCAGGTGTTAATTGATAACTTTATACTTAAAAAATTAAAAATATAAATTTTAATTCTTAAATACTTTTTAAAAACTATATTATTATTTTCTACGAAAAAATGACACCCATCAATCTTAAGACTCATTCATAAAGGTATATTTAACTATTTTATTATTATATATGTGAAATAAGGAGGTCAAATCGAACATTATCAAAATATGATTAATTTGATATATTACATATGAAAAATTAATAATAAATAAAAAAGTTGTTAAGATTTTAAAATACATTTATAATTTAAGTTAGTCAAGTGTTTCATAATTTTAAAAGTCCTTGAATTCGGGGATAAAAGTGTGGACCTAGATGGGCATATACCAAGGCACCACAAAAAGTTGTCTATGAAAATGTGCAATTATATACAGGGAAGGATTATGAATTACTTTTTATTATAAATAAAAGAGACATATTTGAATATTTATGCTTATTCTATGCATTTTATGAATAGTGCGCAGTCTCTACTTTATTTAATGTAGCCATAATATTAGTATATATGAGTGTTACATACAAGAGTATCGGAGTTATGGATAATAAGCCTAAATAAAGTCCGTGATGAAATTAATAAAGTATGGGATCTTCAATTAAAACATAATAATGAGGCCTATAAGACATCGTGTATGAGACAATATTATCATATCGAGAAATCCAAGTAGGAGCATTTATACAAGACTTGATCATATAGGACTTGGACCGATTCAATTCAAAATTTTCGCAGATTCCTTTCATTAGATGAAAAATCAAATTAAATCACCATATGATCATGTATAAATAATCTTAACATTAAGCAATTATAGACTAATGCATATTTTCTTTGTGATTCTTAATATGGTTGTTTAGGCTTGTCCTACGACATTCCCAACACTTGCAATTTAGATCACAATTGCAATGTAATTCATAAATATGGAATCTATTACTTCCTACTTACAAGTAGATAGTTAATTCTCTCATTAGTTAATTTAGTTAATTTTGAAACTGTGTGATTTGAGATCTCTAATTTATAACCTTGAATTATAAATGACCTGCTCACTAGTGAATTAAAAGATATAATGGAAGAGATTTAAAAGTATTACCTAGCTTCAATTACGAATAATCTATTGAAGATTATCTATTTGTAATAACTATATCAATCGATTGCTTTAGTTTTGATAAGTTAATTGTTTATAACTTCCATTGTCCTCGGTTTACCTTCCTATGTGATTAGATTCCATGAATATCAGTATCATACAATTTTGGTTGTAGTAAGAATTAAATAAATATGACATTTATTACATTTATGTATTTATTAATTTGTAATTAAATACTAGCCAGATAATTATTCCAAGTCCAATAGAAGTTTAATAAGGTACTGACTATGAGTAGGAAATCTAATTGAAAAAAGCTTATAGAAAGAATCACCATCTCATTAGATAAGACTCTCGGCCACCCCTCAAAGTTAAACTGATAAACTATTCTATACATTGGAAAACCAAGATTATATCTCATAAAATAAATTATCCAACATTGAAAATTGTGTGTATCGATTCAGCCTGAAAAGAAATTAGTATTTGATATTCATTATTTGGTGATCAAATTTTATTACTTAGTTTAATACCTATCCCATTCAATTAACTTAATTCTACGATCGCATGCATTGAACTTTAGATATGCCCAAACATAGCCATTAAATGGGAATATCGGATATGAAGATCATGGTGTCTATTTGAGGTTGCAAACAGCGATGAACAAACGGATTAACGAATAAGGAGGTGAGCAATCAACGGTCAGGCCAACGAAAATAAAACAATTAAAGATATTTTTCCTTTGCTTTATATATAAATTTAATATCATATAGTATGTTCTTGTATCATAATTGAGCCTTTTGAAATCCCACACTTCCACCTTTATTCGATTCGATTGATTAGCTAGGATCTTATTCGACCCGAATATGATTTTGGACTCATATATTTTCCTTCACAGACCAGTATCAAATACTAGATACAGAAAACTAAAACTAGAAGATAATGCCTATTGGCACTCCTACAGTTATGAACATGTTAAATAATGTAAGCAATTCCTAAGGCTCGGCTGCATAATGATAATTATCTACCACCACTTCAACATTGCAGCAAAAGTTAACAGAATTCTACCAAATTGTCCTATATTTCTTTCCACCAAAGTCAAGTATACCAGGTCCGTAACTGAAATGAAATGAACAAAGCTCTAACATACAGCCAAAGTCAAGTATACCAGGTTCTAATTGAAATGAAATGAACAAAGCTCTTACATACAGCTGCAAGGCTTGAACAAATATATACAACGTACCATTCGTTCTCTCTGCCGCTTCTTCTCTGCTTTCACGGAGAACTCGTCAAGAGGTACGCCTTGTGAAACGTCACGCTCAATTTTCTTCCTCCAAACAAATCTGACATTTTCAAAAAGTTGAATTCATCAGCAACGTTGACAACTAAATTGCATTTTCCAATAGTCTATCAAATACAGACAAGACATGCATATTCCTACTTAGAGGATTATACAAAATTCACACTTCTTTAAGACAGATACCATGATGTTGTTAAACAGCAAGTTAATCGGGTATCAGAAGTACAAATGCGACTCACTGAACATGAAGACATGCTGCCTTGTTTAAACAATATCCACAAGAGTTAAAAAAAATAACAGATGTTCGGAAGCCACTAAGAGGGAGTTATCGCTACTAACTTTTCATTGAGATTAGAATCTCCAAAGGGATTCGAATCATTGGAATATCCCGAGACAGTCTGCGCCTTCAATTTCTTAGCCGCTTTCAACGCCTGCCATCACATTGGGTAGAGGCATAAGCATACGAGAAGTAAACAAAAGAATGCCCCCACACAGACATAATCGAAACTAACTTAGGGCAAAAGCACGAACCTTTTTCTGGGCCTTCTTAGCCATGTACTCGGCAATTTCTTCATCCGTTATCCTTCTACTACTCCTGCGCTTGGATGGCCCATCTGAATCGCTTTCCTGATCCCGGCGACGGCTACGGCTACGGCGCTTGTAATCGGAAGCGGATTCCGGCGAAGAATCATCAGAGGAGTGGTGTCGCGGGCGTTTACTAGAAGACGGCATCTTATGAACCAAATATTTATCGCCTCGGCCACTGGCCCTTGAAGGGACGACAATGGAAAAGGATTGAGAATTTGGGGTTTGCAGCAAAACGAGGGCTCAGATTGGTTCAAAAATCAAAATAGAAAAGAGGGAACGAAGTACGAACAAAAAGGAAATAAGAAAAGGAAGAGGAAGTGAAAATTACCATTTTATTTCCCATACAATGACACAAGGAGCAGATCAATATACAAATGGGATTAATAAATGTCTGGGGCAACACACTAATTGAACGGTTATGAATCGCTTCCTCTAGCCCACATTTCTTTGTGTACGTCCTCACTGAATCGTCAAGTCGGATCCCCGATGTCGTCGGAATCGCAAAGTCGGGTCGCACGTTGCTGTTGCGTGCATTCGTCGGGTATTGCGGTTGTTTGCAATCGCGCTAGGCGTTGGACAACGTGTGGTTGCAGCGTGTTGATGTCAACGAGGGTCGGAGGCTCAAGAACGCCTATAGCCGGGCATATCGTGTGTGCAAAAGGGAGGCTCGTGCAGCGGCCGAGGCTCGCAGGAACAAGCGAAAGACAGGCGAGGTGTGCGTTGGCGACCCATGTGCGAGCATCGCGTGCGCTGCATGCAACGTGGGCGACACGGACGCTGGGAAGCAGAGCAGGGCGCAAACGAACGTGGGGGCATAGACACGTGCAAGGACAACCCGGGGTTTTTGTGCACGGGCGAGAAAGCGAGTCACGAGATGGGACGCACCGGGCAGCGGACGGACCCGGAGCGGCTCGAGAGACCCTCGCTAGGCGCAGTCAGCATGCCTTGAGGGCCAAGTCGACCAATCTTCTAGAATGAGGATCTTCTAGAATATCTTTACAATTTTAATTGATGTCTTAGATAATATTTCTAGTTTGTTTAGATGTTTGGTTTAATTGGCATGTACATAATTATTTGTTTTCCTTAGGATTGGTATTTTTATTCTTCATAGGCCTAGTCTTTCTTTCTCTTTAGATAAGTCTATGTAATCATCTTTTTTAATCAAAGTAATAAGAAATCAAAACGCTCGTCTTGAATACAAAGCTTTCGTGTTAAAATTAGGTTGATAGTGTGGTTTTATCACATACACTCGTGTAGAAACAAGATCGTTACCGCAGTTTCTTCACAAAATACATCTATAATACACGAACTTCATCATTGGTACTTTTATTGAGAGAGTCTATGACCGCGCGTCGCGACGCGGCAAATTTGAATTTATAAGTTTTCCTCAACTAACCTCTACTAACTAGTAGTAGCAGCGAGTAAGGGTCGATCCCACGAGGAGTAGGAACTAAGTTGTGAGATTCTCTTATTAATCGAATTGAAACTAAGAAAGCACTAAAAGGAGGGGATTGGTTTTATAAGAATAAAAATAGCAAAATAAAACAAAAATCCAATAAAGAAAGAGAAATTCAGTTTTCGGTTCAGTTATCACCCAATCTAAATCTAACGCTAATTAATTTCGACGTTTTCTTTAAATCGCTAACGAATTACCAACCCTAGTTCACAACAAGCTCTGCTAACCGAATTTTCCCTTACCAATTATTTAATCGAAATAAGCTCTTCGACTAAACCTAACTAGTGGACAACCTAGAATAAGCTCTCTAGATTTAATTCACTAGCAGCATTAATTTCTAAAAAATAGATTAGTCTAAGCAACGGTCGCAAAAGCTCAGACCATTTAACTTATGTTCATTCTACCCTAGAGATGCACGACCCCTAGTTTACAACTAACGAAACGAGAACAATAACAATTACGGATTAAAGCCTCGAATCTAGCAATTAAACTATGAATATTCAACCTAGCTGGCCAAACTAAATCAAACACCATAATTTATAAACATTATACACAGATAACATGAATCAACTCATCAACAAAATAAATACGTCGTCAAGATTAATCCACGATAAATAAAGATCCTTCAATTCATAGACAAATCGAAGTTAGGGTCCAACATCTCCTAGAACTGGATAAAAATATAACCTAACATGCTAATAAAAATAAATACTAAATAAAAGATAAATGAGAGAAGATAAAAATATCTCCCTCGTATGCGGGCGCGGCTTCCCTCCGCGTGTGTAGCCTTCTCTCCTTCAGTCCGTGCGCGTGCTCTCGCTGCTCTATTTCTTTTCTCCTCTGCTCGCCAGTCTCCTCCGCCAGAAAAAATAACTCACGCCTTCCTCCCGATTTGTACTGGTATACCCATTCAAATCTCATAAGACTAGTCTTCACAATATAATCCCAAGCCTCCTATCACGTGAGCGTTTCAAGTCTCCCACTTAGTCTTCCAATTGTGGATCCCACCATGCCTTCTCATCCATTAAATTCCAAACATAAGTCTCCTTTAATAAATCCTAAGTGGGCCTAATTAGGTGTCCAAGTATTATGGCCCAATAGGTCGTGGTCTTTAATTTTCACTTCGCTTGGGCCTTAATTAATTCGGTATTCGAGCACTCCGATGAATGCTACTTGAACTCCTATCAACAACTTCGTCATTCACAAAGAAATACTCTAACATGCTGAAAATAAACAATAAAGTATCAATGTATATGAATCCATCCAAATAATAAATAAGTCGAAAAATATAAACGTGGAATAAATTAAGTGTATAAGAATACACTATTAAATATATAAAATATGCACATTTTTTGACGTATCAAATCTCCCCAAACTTAAATCGTTTCTTGTCCCCAAGCAACTTAAAACTAAGAGCACAAAGATGAATATAATCAAGTATGTGGAATATTACTCAGGGCCTCACAAATTCTCACATAACTACATAGCTCAAACAACTTGAATCAATTAATTCGGACTCAAAATGAAATCATTTTAAGAACGCAAAAAATCAAGCATCAATTCAAGTGACCATCATAGTCCGTCAATCTCTATAACGAATGTATTGATCAATGCAACTCATGACACCCCTCTCTTTGCTAATTAGTCTAGTTCCTATTTGTTTCGAGCCAATATCTGAATGTCTTGTTCTCCTATTTTTCTTCTTTTTTTTCTTTTTTTTTTTTGTGAAGTAGGGAATGGCAGCTCCGTCACAGCCAGTGGATTTTAGCCTTTCGTGATTGTCTAAACTGCAAGAATTATTGGATTTGTACACTTGGCCCCCACGGATTGGCAACTGTTGCAGTATTTTATTTGCCAAAGTCTTGTCAACTCCACCAATTATTCACCAACCTCAAACCTCAATATTCGTTATTTTCGACCAAAGTCTTGTCAACTCCACCAATTATTCACCAACCTCAAACCTCAATATTCGTTATTTTCGACTACGAGACATCAAACACTGACTTTCAACATCAAGTCACTAAACACAGCCAACATTGATCAAGATAATCATAAGCACATCTCAACAACACAATTCGAGTCAAAATCAACTCAACATAAATAAATCACAAAAATATTAACTCTCATGCTCTTGATCCCAAAATAAAAACACCTTAAGATATTTAATCAAATATAATCAACTCAAGCCATTTAAACTAGTACAAAATAATCAAATAGACCTTCATATCATCATCGCAAAATTCCACATACAAGTAACATATACTCAGACAAATCAAGATAATATATAATGTAGAACATAACTCAACAACTCACAAAATATATATCACTCTAATGGGTCTCCCCAAACTTAGAGTTTGCACATAAGCGAACAAAATAGAAAGTAAAAGGAAAGAGTTCATCTTATCAAGAGAAGAAGTCACGTCACACACCATTGGGTTGCCTCCCAACAAGCGCCGTTTTTTTATCGTCGTTGGCTCGACTTATTCTCCGTTCTCATCGAGCGGACCATGGCAGTTTCATAGGTGGCCTCAAAAGAGGCATAAACCTTGCAACGCCATTCTTATTAAGGATCCCCTCGTTCGGTGTCGGGTGCTTGACCGGATCTTTTCTTCTTGGCGGTAGATCGTGATGACAAAAGACTAGCCCGGGATCATGGATAAAAGAGAAAATCTCACGCACTTCAAGGATGTAAGGCTCTTGATTTTCAACATGCTCAGTTGCTGGTTGTTTGAACTCAGATAGAAAATATTGATTTTCAGTCATTCTCGGGGTAATTATCGGAGCTTTTACGTCATTTTCACCTTCGAGTGGGCTATTATCGGGGGCCCCGATAGCAGTAGAACATGCTTCCAGGCTGTTATCAGGGGGGCAATAGAAGCGGAAATTTGCACCTCATCGCCTTCTTCTTCATTCTCTTCGTCGCTCGGATCATCATTCAGCTCAAAAATATGACTTTCCAGCACCTCGGACTCCATCTTGCTGCCCAGCCGAAGGTCTCCCACATCACTTTGGCTCGGTTCGGCTTGAGATAGTAGCCGACTCTTGGCTCGGGCATCCAATTCGCTCGACATCATCAATCTTTTTGCTACCAGCCATCAAAGAATATTGACACTCCTCAAATAACTTCACCAATGATGGACTAGCCTCTTCTTTAAGTGAAGGTTCTGAAAAATATTGTGAGCCTCCATATTGGAATTGAGGGTCATCGTGCTCATAAGTAGGCTCACACGATCGAGAGTATTGTGGATTTTCATAGAATAAATTTCAACGATTGCCCCAACCGTAATGGTCCCTATCGAAATTTGAGTACGCCCATTTGTCTTGTCAATACCAATTTCTCTCGGTAGCTTTATGTGCACCATACCTCTCGAACAAAAACGGACAATCATCGGTGACGTGTCTTGTGGTATTACATAAACGACATGGTCTCCTTAGAACTTGACGAACCTTTCAATGGCTCCTTGGATCATAGCTGACATCCTAGCCTCACGATATTGGTCTCTTATTTTCCTCCTTCTCATTTCATAATACGAATCGTAAGTGTAAGCACAATCTGGGCTCCAATACGCATCCATATCGAACAGATACCACCTACAAAAGAAAAATAAAATGAAAGGGGGATTAAAAGAGTAAAATAAAAATAAAATAAAATAAAGTAAAAAATAATCTAATTATCTAATTCAATTAATATCACAACTCAATTTCGCCCTTCCCCGGCAACGACTCCAAAATTTGACCGCGCGTTGCGACGCGACAAATTGGAGTAGCGGCGAGTAAGGGTCGATCCCACGAGGAGTAGGAACTATGTTGTGAGACTCTCATATTAATCGAATTGAAACTAAGAAAGCAGTAAAAGGAGGGGATAGGTTTTATAAGAATAAAAATAAAAAAATAAAATAAAAATCAAATAAAATAAGAGAATTTCAGTTTTTGGTTCAGTTATCACCTAATCTAAATCTACCGCTAATTAATTTCGACGTCTTCTTTAAATCGCTAACGAATTACCAACCCTAGCTAACAACAAGCTCTGTTACCTAACTAGTGGACAACCTAGAATAAACTCTCTAGATTTAATTCA